TGGTGTATTTAATCGTACATATTCGCTCTTGTGGTCGAATGTCGTGATACCATGAAGGTAATCACTCGCTCACTGTCAAGTCCTCCTACTGAACCATCACCTGGTGCAGCTGATCAATGAGGTGAGTAATAATAGTACAACAGAGTAGACCTGCACGTACAATATTGTCCGGCCTTAAGCCTTCACACACCCTCACACAGCTATGTAAATCTGAATGGCTGATCTTGATGCATCTGTCTCGAAGGTAAAGTAATGTGGTCTAGCTGTTGGCCTCTTAGCAATTCACGCACACGGATTCTCTTATGGCATCTAGGCTGGGGAAGGCATGAACGACGTGAACTCGCATACCATCCAAGCTTCCAGCATTTGTCTCTGGTTTCTGACCAATCACAGAAATGCTGTTACAATGGCTTCGGTATGTTAACCTTCTCATAGATCTCCAAGAGGTCACATGGGTAGATGAAATCATCGCTGGATGTTGACTTAACTCTGGAATGATTTTTGTTGCCCGGTGTTGCACTTTCTCCAGAGCAGCTATGTCCCTCTGAAAATGAGGTCTCCATGCTTGGATACAGTAATTCAAATGGGGCGCACACCAGAGATTTATACAATTGAATCACTACCTTCTTTTCCTGTAAGTGTACGCTTGATTATTCCAAGGGTTTGGTTAACTTCTTTGACTGCTGCTCCCATAGGTTGTGCAACTTTCATTGAGTGGTTGATTTTCACTCCAAGGGCCTTTTCTTCATCAATCTGCTGTAATGTAATGTTAATTTGGTAGTTGTGATGTGGGTTGTTATGCCCCACATGCAAGGTCTTGCATGTGGGGCATAATATAATATCCACCTTTGTCGATATTAAAAAGCATCTGCCAGTCTTCTGACCATTTGCGGAGTTCATGTATATATATTTGCAAGGCTTTAATATTATAATTTCCCACTTTATCATAAATCTTTGTGTCATCTACAAATTTGATAATGTAGTTTGCAATATTCTCATCTATGTCATTGATGTATATGACAAACAGGGTTCGACCCAAAATAGACCCCTTTGGTACCCCACTTAGCATATTTTTCCGGTGTAAGAAATACCTTAAATACTGGAGAAGTATTTCTCTAGTACACATACATAAGTACACACACTATACACTAAATACATTGCACATGTATGTGGGTACAAGCTGCATTCTACATGAGTAGCCTGTATGCACATATATATACAATATTTTGCATGAGCAACCCATACATACAAATACAATGCATTCTACACAAACAACCAATACATGCACACACTGTACGTAATGGGAGTTACATAAAGCTGTATTCCTTTATTATTGGGAAATAAAATAAAAAAATTACTGGAATGACATTTTAATTGTAAAATTAAATATAAACAATATTCCTTTTTAATCAGTATAGATATTCCAGGCATATTTTACTCATAAATAGCATGATTTATGAACTCTCAGCTAGTAAACACATTCTTGAATAATGTTAATTCAATTTTAGTGGGCAAAATGTGTTCAAGTAATGAAGAATCAAAGTCGAATCAACATCGTTTGCCCAACATATGTCCACTTGGACATAGAATCAACCCAACACTGGGACATTGAATCAATGTTGATTCTATGTTACATCAACACTGTATGTCCCTATATCCGCGTGGGTAAACTAAACAATTAAGTCAATTGATAATAAAATATTTAATTTTAAAGCTGAAGTGAGAGCCAGTTGCCAAGGCAATATGGTACCTAGATTTTAATTATGAATTATCAATTCCTTAAGGGAATATACCTGAACTCTGAATGAGCCATAAATATACTTTACGAGTATATTTGAATATACTTTATATATTTTGAATATGAGTCCTAAATAACTTGTAATGGATTAGAAATACAGTACTGTTTTTGTAGTCGACAGCCTGGTAATTATCATTACAATATAAAGACAACTAAGTGGATACAACATCGATGAAGTTATCTTATGAATTTAATACTGCATATTCTAGAATTGTAAATGATTATCAAAATTTACAAACCATCAAATTATAAAAGTATACATGAAAATCACGGCTTTTGGCGAATACAATCCACCCTTCAAAAATTATATCACCTATATCAACTGAGTGTGGCTGTAATGTATAAACTCTTGAACCAAACAGGTCCATGTTTTATACTATGGTACACTAAATAGCATAACAGAAAATGCAGCAATTTAACATAACATCTCCTAGGCAAAATAAGCAACTCTAGGCCTAATATATGCAGCCTAATTTAGTTCGTATTTAGTAATGGCCTAATTGAGTATATATGTGTATACTAGTCCTAGAAAATATAAGTTTTGGTTGCTGCGTTTCTCAGGTCATCTACAAAATCAATACTGAGGTACAAAACAGACTTTTTGGGTAAAAGAATCCACAGCTTGTACCTTCCATGCCGTCACTCTTCGTACTACCACTAAGTGAAGATTGCTCATCCAAATCAGAGGGAAGTTCTTCTCAACTGATACCATGATAACTTCTGATAATAAAACTGATAACTTCTCAACCATCAAAGCTTTGGTTACCTGAATAATCATCAATTTGTGGAGAATTGAAAAGAAATTCCACAGAAAATAAAAAATTACTGTTGAGCATTAATCAAAATCTACATTAATTAGTTGGGGTGTGGTTCTTGTGAATCAAAACAAGGTGGCTAAGAAATTGTTTAACCTGGCACATCTTGCTTTTGCAACACTGTGCATATTAGTAGCCTTAACTCCTACACTACTCTAAGTGCCATATGTGATTTTTCCCCCATCTAATTTCTTAATTATTTTTAGTCATACACACCTCAATGTAAGACTTAAATAGCTGTACCAATTAGGAGTTAACAGAATGTACCTAAATTTATCAATTTTAATTAAGCTCTAGGTACTGTATCCACTTCAATAATTGAATTGAATTTTACATACTCTCCAAACTTACAAAAAACATATGTATCGTCATCATAAATCTACTGTATTAATATACTACTTCTAAACTGCTTGCCAAAGAAGCTGACTTGGTTACTTTTTCATTATATTACACTATTATAGTAATTTATCAATTGACTAAATTCCCAAATTACCCTAGTCCATCACACCCTGGCTGAGCCTATGTTGCCCAAGGCCATGGCAACATATAAGCTTGTGTTGTCCAAGGCCATGGCAACATTTAAGCTTGTGTTGTCCAAGGCCATGGCAACATATAAGCTTGTGTTGTCCAAGGCCATGGCAACATTTAAGCTTGTGTTGTCCAAGGCCATGGCAACATATAAGCTTGTGTTGCCCAAGGCCATGGCAACATATAAGCTTGTGTTGTCCTAGACCATGGCAACATATAAGCTTGTGTTGTCCAAGGCCATGGCAACATTTAAGCTTGTGTTGTCCAAGGCCATGGCAACATTTAAGCTTGTGTTGTCCAAGACCATGGCAACATATAAGCTTGTGTTGCCCAAGGCCATGGCAACATATAAGCTTGTGTTGTCCAAGACCATGACAACATATAAGCTTGTGTTGCCCAAGGCCATGGCAACATATAAGCTTGTGTTGCCCAAGGCCATGGCAACATATAAGCTTGTGTTGTCCAAGGCCATGGCAACATATAAGCTTGTGTTGCCCAAGGCCATGGCAACATATAAGCTTGTGTTGCCCAAGACCATGGCAACATATAAGCTTGTGTTGTCCAAGGCCATGGCAACATATAAGCTTGTGTTGCCCAAGGCCATGGCAACATATAAGCTTGTGTTGTCCAAGACCATGGCAACATATAAGCTTGTGTTGTCCAAGACCATGGCAACATATAAGCTTGTGTTGTCCAAGGCCATGGCAACATATAAGCTTGTGTTGCCCAAGGCCATGGCAACATATAAGCTTGTGTTGCCCAAGGCCATGGCAACATTTAAGCTTGTGTTGTCCAAGGCCATGGCAACATATAAGCTTGTGTTGCCCAAGGCCATGGCAACATATAAGCTTGTGTTGCCCAAGACCATGGCAACATATAAGCTTGTGTTGTCCAAGACCATGGCAACATATAAGCTTGTGTTGTCCAAGGCCATGGCAACATATAAGCTTGTGTTGCCCAAGGCCATGGCAACATATAAGCTTGTGTTGCCCAAGGCCATGGCAACATTTAAGCTTGTGTTGTCCAAGGCCATGGCAACATATAAGCTTGTGTTGCCCAAGGCCATGGCAACATATAAGCTTGTGTTGTCCAAGACCATGGCAACATATAAGCTTGTGTTGTCCAAGACCATGGCAACATATAAGCTTGTGTTGTCCAAGGCCATGGCAACATATAAGCTTGTGTTGCCCAAGGCCATGGCAACATTTAAGCTTGTGTTGTCCAAGGCCATGGCAACATATAAGCTTGTGTTGCCCAAGGCCATGGCAACATATAAGCTTGTGTTGTCCAAGGCCATGGCAACATTTAAGCTTGTGTTGTCCAAGGCCATGGCAACATATAAGCTTGTGTTGCCCAAGGCCATGGCAACATATAAGCTTGTGTTGTCCAAGACCATGGCAACATATAAGCTTGTGTTGTCCTAGACCATGGCAACATTTAAGCTTGTGTTGTCCTAGACCATGGCAACATATAAGCTTGTGTTGCCCAAGGCCATGGCAACATATAAGCTTGTGTTGCCCAAGGCCATGGCAACATTTAAGCTTGTGTTGTCCAAGGCCATGGCAACATATAAGCTTGTGTTGCCCAAGGCCATGGCAACATTTAAGCTTGTGTTGTCCAAGGCCATGGCAACATATAAGCTTGTGTTGTCCTAGACCATGGCAACATATAAGCTTGTGTTGTCCTAGACCATGGCAACATATAAGCTTGTGTTGTCCAAGGCCATGGCAACATTTAAGCTTGTGTTGCCCAAGGCCATGGCAACATATAAGCTTCGAGACCTTCCATGGTAGACCTCAGAACACTATTGACAAATGTGCAGAAAACGCTTCGAGAGGTTTAGTGTACAGTAATACAAATAATTGATATAACTTTATTTTCTCTATATAGTACAGAAAAAGGACAATTCTTCAACAGTTTTGGAAATACAGTATTGTATATTTTAATTATCATCATTGTATTTAAAAGACATAAATATGATGATATAGGGGGTAATTACTTGATACAGAGTACGTATATATAATGAAGCCACTACAGTAGTACACACAGCGTTTGGGCATTAAATTAAATGTAGGGCAGATGGAAGTCAGACAAAAAGAGGCCAATAAGAAATGTGGAGTTAATCCAACACTTAACAACACATAGAGTAAACAAATAGTCATGATCATGTTTGCATCCAGACTACTACTGTCCAGACTACTACTACTACTACACAGGCTACTACCTCTAACTGCAGTTAATTTGTCATATTGTGTGTTTTTTATCTACACATAAAGACTACATTGTTAGTAATTTGCATATCACTTTGATTTTAAAGGGTTTACCATTCAGATGTTTATCACTGGTACATACTGATGCTGTAGTGTGCTGTAGTGTGTCATACTGAGGTCAGTCACACTGATGAAGGAGACCCTGGTAAGCTTGCTGGGGGTCCTACTAGTGCACGCTCTCCATTAACTGTCTTGCTTCTGTCAGTTCTGACAGAGGAAACAAAAATTAAGCCTTGAAGCCAATGTCGTATATACAATTTATGCAATCACACCAACATATTATATTCCCCATTCTGCTCTTCTCACACAATACTGTACTACAAACTATTTTAACTTACGGAATCTGTGCATCGGGTTCAATCACAGCAAACGACCACAAACTCATCATCACCCAGCAAAAATCAGCCATCAGAACTTTAACAAATTCTATTTTCAGGCAATACACAGCCCCCCTCTGTTTAAATCTCATCCTGTAATTACACTTAGGTGATTACACTTAGCTAATTACATACACTAGGAATCGACTTGAGAATGGTCCAGGACGGACTGAAACGCCGTCGTCCCTTCATTTTCTAGTGTGCGGATTGGTCAACAATCAATACACTAGGAAAGATAAGAAACTTACACAATTGCAATGTCCTCCAAGATGACCTGGACAAAATAAGTGTATGGAGCAACACCTGACATGAAATTTCAATGATAATAAATGTTGTATTATGGAATATGGAAGAGGAGGAACAAGGCCACACACAACTTACAAATTACGTGGAAAGGCTTTAACAGCTTAGAAAGACCTAGTGGTGGTGCTGGGGAGCAAACTGTCACCGGAGGACCACAAAGAACATTATGTGTGGTGGCTATGTTGCACCTTCCAACTGACAGCTGAGGATTCGACCCCTGCATGTAGGCCCCCTGCCGAGCACACCCACATGTGGGGCCCCCTGCCGAGCACACCCAGATGTGGGGCCCCTGCCGAGCACACCCACATGTGGGGCCCCCTGCCGAGCACACCCAGATGTGGGGCCCCTGCCGAGCACACCCACATGTGGGGCCCCCTGCCGAGCACACCCAGATGTGGGGCCCCTGCCGAGCACACCCACATGTGGGGCCCCCTGCCGAGCACACCCAGATGTGGGGCCCCTGCCGAGCACACCCACATGTGGGGCCTCTGCCGAGCACACCCAGATGTGGGGCCCCTGCCGAGCACACCCACATGTGGGGCCCCCCTGCCGAGCACACCAACATCCTCCACGAGACAATTAGTATGCAGCTCATGGAGACTCGGGAAAAGCACGACGGAACCCACACACAGACAGCGAAGATCATTCACCAATAGTGCGGCCGACAACAGAGGAACTTGGGCACGGAGCCGCACAAGACTATCATCAGGAGCAAGAGAGGGAGCAAACAGGCAGAAATTGAGAGGCGCCAAAGAAAGATCTTTAGAAACACCTGCAACACAGCCACCTCACACCACCTCAGTGTGCGGATATGACGAGTTGCACCAAGCGAGAACACAGGATTATCTGCCACCCAGGAAGATTATAACCTCATAATGCATTCAATAAAGAGAAGACGCAAATTCAAAAGATGAAAGGTCCATCATAAAGGCGAAATCCGAGTCTCGCAGGAGGTAAAAAAGAAAAAAAAGGTCCTGAGCCGCCACAGGGGGGGACCCAAGAGGAAAAAAACCTCTGGAAGAATGATCCTGATAGGCCTAAAGGCACACGGAACCGAATCCTGGGGAAGCCGCATCCAAATCATACTCGTGCAAGGAGGGAGGATATGAACCCTTTCCCTAGCAAAGGGAGACTCTCATCGGTGGTAACCAGGAAACATGCACAGTCAAAGGGACACAAAGGCCCATATCTTACTCCTCACAAACCCTGGAAGCTGAAGTCACGGTCCCCAGGGTCGAGCCAGTATCCTCGCCCACCGTCCGGGATAGAAAAGCAGAGTCCAAGAGAGAGGCATCAAATGAGGAAGAGGCTGGCTGAAAGGAAAACCCAGAAGTGGTTTGGTGGGATCAGCCGGCTCAATTGACTGTGCCCGGTTCGAAAAGGGCACCCCCCCCCTCCTCCGGAGCTGGCCGAGCTACATCTTGAGCTAAACCCTGTCCTGACCCGGAAACCTTCAGATGATTTGGGTACAAAAGCCCCAAATCAGGCTTCAGAGCAGGGCGAGGAAATGATCAGAGAAAGGGCGAACCATGCTCTGAAGGTGAAGGAAAAGTAGCCATGTTGGAGTTCACCAACACCTCTAATTCCAGGTCCCTAAACACCAGGGCAGCTCCAGGGCATTTAACCTGCCACACAACAGACAGCTGCAACCTAGCAAAACAAATATTCAAAACAAATATGCACTGCCTGGTAAGCCCAAACCTCATGAGGAGGGTCTGAAAGAAAAATACCATGGGGGAGCGCAAACCCCACTGGAATCAGAGTCGAAGTGTCACTGACCCAACATGTAGCATGGCAGACAAAAGGAATGATCGTCGCTGCATGGCGTGGATGATGAACAACCCTAAAACTCGCACGAAGTGAGAGCAGGCTCGGGGGAATATCCATGTAGGACCACCAAACCAGCTGCCGATGTCCAGATGCCCTGAAGTGTGAACCAAGCAGCGCACCGAGGCACTGGGATTGTTCTGCCGGTCTTAAAAGTAAGCCAACACAGCCTGGTTCACGCGGCCGTGTTGGTCGACCTCAGCATGCTGAGAGAAGCACGCTACCCACCAGTGCGCCCCGACAGCCATTTTTTGTTATTAACACATTTAGGTACATGTGCATTTGAGCAGCTACCCTAGACTATATGAAGGGGAGTACAGTGTGTCAAAAAGCTAGCTACATGGTGCTAAAAATCCCCATCACACAGGATGGTTAGTCATAGAGAGGCACGTGATCAATAGTCTGCACTGGCAAACACTGGGTGCATTATGAGGATATCATCATGAACACTAGAGTGAGTAAGGCAGCAGTGATACTAAAAGTCCTCATCTCGCAGGATGGTTAGTCATACAGGCCATATGTTCAGTAGCTTGCACTGGCAAATTTTGGGTGCACTATGAGTATAGTGCGCGAATTCGATCATTTGTTTACATAGCTGAGGGAAGTTCTTTAGGCGGGTTTGGAGGCTTTGTTCTCTTTGGACTCCAGTTTTGAATCCAGGGAGTTTTGACTCGCTGACTTTCTGACTGCCTTCCGTGGCGAGGTGGCAGGAGAATAAAATGTCACAGCTCCCTGTGTCTCTGAAGGGGGGGGGATGGGGGTGTCAGGTTGTGCCACTGGTAGGCCTATAGAGCTCTATGACTGATGCGACCTAGCAGATGGGACTCCCTCAGTAGCTCCAGGGAGCCACAAGGAGGCTTCTCCCCCCCCAGAAATTTCATTATTTATAATTAACAATAAAGTGCAAGGTAAACAAATGAAACCAACCATGGATGAGGGCGTGTAGCTGGGCGGGAGTGAGGGTGAGAGTGGTGGGCGGGCCGGTGGGCGGCTGGCCACCCTGGAGACTCAGCTGCACCGCGGCCTTCTGATTCCCGCCCACACTTACGCCCACAACCTTGCACGACCAACTGATGTCGCCTCCAACTGCCGGGAGAAATGCATTATAAATCTACTCTTAAAAACATACAATTATGGCGAGAATAGGTCATACTGACTTGTCTGGAACTACACCCAACCCGCACATGTGAAATGGAAGTGATGATCGATCCATCCACTTGTAACTTGATGAAGGTCCACCACAGACCGTAACGACACTTTCCTTATAGGGTGGGCCAAAACGCCGCCACTTTCCTTCTAGGGTGGGCCAAAACGTAGCCACTTTCCTTCTAGGGTGGACCAAAACGTCGCCACTTTCCTTATAGGATGGGCCAAAACGTCGCCACTTTCCTTATAGGATGGGCCAAAACGTCGTCACTTTCCTTATAGGATGGGCCAAAACGTCGCCACTTTCCTTATAGGATGGGCCAAAACGTCGTCACTTTCCCTCCAAGATGGGCTCAAAACGTCACCATTTTCCCTTCTTGTCATGTGTGGGATTGGGTGGTATATGATCATGAAAATAATGATAACACCGATGAATGTAACACAGACGGTGCCAGACGATGCAGGCAATACCTTAGCAAAAAGTACATAAACAAAATAGAGTATTGGACTATCGCATCACACACAAGAAAAGGCAGCAATAAATGAGACTCAAATTGGACAAAGACAGGTTTAAAGATGACAGAAGTAAACACTGGTTCGCTGATATAGTCTTAAGACACGTGCCAGTGCATATTAACGCCACGGAACGTAGAGAAACAAGATGATATGAAGACCAACTTGTTTACAATGCTTCACCTGCGATGCCGTCATCAAACCTAACACAGGCAAAAAGGGGAAGGGATGAGGTAAGGGGCGTTGATGTAAGGGAGGGATCGATGAGGTAAGGGAGGTAGAGAGGAGAGACAAGGGATTATGTTACGTTTTATATTGATATATTATTTAATCAATCAAACACTTTATTACAAGAAATGGTAGTACATTTATAACTGGTTAGGTTTATATGAGAAGTCGAGTACAGGAGACCCGCTGCACCAGTTAAAAATGTAACTCAATCTAACACACAAAGAACCCAGATTAACCTGATGTATCAGTGAGACAATCAGTAGGAGCCACGAGGAAGATTTGAACTTGCATTTCATCGTGTTAAGGGGATTTCTTTGTGCATTAGAAGAGAAGCGTTAGGGAAGACCTCCCATATCACAGCCAGAGTACAATGTAATTCTGGTTTGGGATCAGAAGATGCCTCGGGATTCAATTGAATCCTCGAGGATTTAGTTGAATCCCAGGTTACATTACGTTTGTAGCATATCGTGGGCTGGTGGTTTAGGGCGTGTGCTTGGAAGTACCGAGTGTGCAGGTTCGAATCCTCCTCATGGTTTCTACCGATTGCCTCATTCTAAAGTTGTATCTCCTAGCAATTAATTTTATTTTTCTATGTTATTGCTAGAGCTGGACGCCCGTCTAGCCTAACCTCTTGGACTGTACGGTGGAGCGTCTGTCTTGCGTCATAAAGGTCGGCGTTCAATCCCCGACTGTCCGAAGTGGTTAGGCATAATTCCTTTACCCCGTCCCATCCCAAATCCTTATCCTGACCAATTCTCAGTGCTATATAGTCGTAATGGCTTGGCACTTTATCCTAACAGTTCCCTTCCACTTCATCAAGATCTCAAAATTTCCATATTAGCTCGTGTGCAAACAATAGGCCTATGTATCTAAAAGTTGACAAAGAATTTACAGGCAAAAGTCCTCTCTGGATTACAGCCTTCTCTCATCTAAGTGATGCTGTATGCAGTTATCTGCATCTTGTACTTGTCGTTCCCAAAATTATTGGAGCAAATGGGCCTACCTTTTTATATTAAATGTAAATGGTACCCCAACTCCCACGAGTTAGTCGGCCTATATAATGAATAAAGCCGACTACTTTATTCATTATACACAAACACTGAGAGTTTGAAGTGTGACCTTTAAGGCTGGTATCATGCAGACGACGAAGCAGCTCGTGGTGATGGTCGCTGTAGACCTTGGTGAGGGCGGCGGCGTGCTCCTTGGGCAGACCCAGCTGCTGGAGCTCAGAGTCCAGCACGCCAGCCGCCACCACGGCTCCCGCAGCACTCTCCAGCACCCAGCGGATGGCGGCAACCACGGCATGGGCCTGACTCTCACCTGTAGGGGGTGGGAGAGGGTAGTGAGTATCAGGGGAGGGGAATAATGAGGGTGGGGGTAGGGAGAGTTGTGAGGGCAGGGGATAAGGGGGGGGTGATGTGAAGGGGCAGTGAGAGGGGTATTATGATCCAGTGTATTCACCACTTTGTAAATATACACTGTGCCCTAACTTTAGACTGGACGACAGTACACAGAAAACAAAGGGGAACTAGGTCACCCAAGACAAGGAGAGAGGGTCAGTCACTGGTGCTCAGTTTGGGTGGGAGCACGTGACTACGGAGTAACTTCTCAGCCAAGTTCCCATCACAGTGATGTTAAGCCCCTTCTCTGTGACTTGGATCATTACCGGGTGAATCTCCAGTGAGTGATCAGCCTAGGTAGGGCGTCGGAAGTCGCAGTATAAGAGAAGGAGTACTCTGCTGGTGCTCAGGTGGTGGTAAATGGTTTTCGTATTTATCATCGGCACCCTGATAAGCTGGGGGCCCTGATAGTGTGTGTTTGTGTGAACGTGTAATAAATATGTTATGTGTGTGTGAACGTGTAGTAAATATGATAAAAAGGAAAAAAATAGGTTGGGATATCACAGCCGATGGTTTGTAAAAGCGGGAACCATCAGCTAACTGCTCGACCCTGTAAACACACACACACACACACACACACACACACACACACACACACACACACACACACACACACACACACACACACACACACACACAAACACACAAACACAAACACACACAAACACACACAAACACACACACGAAGCTGGAAAAACAAATGAGCAAAAGGAATGTAAGGAAATACTGGTATCCTGTACAGGTGGTCAACAAGTGGAATACACTGAGAGAAGGTGTGGAAGCCACTTCCATCCCCATCTTTAATGCTGGCTTCCACAAAGGATTTTAACATCAAAATAAATAAATGTAATGCAGTGGGCACAAGGCTAGTGAACTCTGTTAGGCAAGTACACAAACACAAATATATATATATATATATATATATATATATATATATATATATATATATATATATATATATATATATATATATATATATATATACATCTTAAATCTACAAGAGACCCAAGAGCAGCAAGTAAGTAATTATCAAAGAAGGCACCAAGCCGGGAAGGCTATGTAGCACCTTCAAATGTGCGGAATAATCAGAGGGCGCTAAATATCACTGAGGATGCCAATATGAGAAGAGAAACGCATAAGGCGAACGATATCAAAAGTATCCGATTCACCAAGAATTCGATTGAGGGACAAGTGACCGCGAGGGACAGTCGGAAAGCAAGACATATGCTCGTCCTGGAAGTCAGGACATTCAACAAGGATATGCACAACTGTAAGAGGGACAATGCAGTTAGGACAATAAGGAGCAGGGCGGCGTTCCACTAAGTGTCTGTGAGTTAAGCGTGTATGGCCAATACGCAACCTTGCTAGAACCATTTTCCCCCGCTGGTTACGGTGGCAGGAGGAAGGCCACAGGGACACTGGTCTTCTGTTACCAGTAACAGAAGACCAACAACCCTGCCAAAGGGCAAGGATAGAGGAATGAATAACTGGGTAATAGTCAAAATAAGAAATACCTTTATGGGAGATGGGACAAGTGCGAATAGCTTCCTTAGCGGCAGCGTCCGCACGCTCATTTAAAGAGACACTAATATGGCTGGGAACCCAGCAAAATTCAACTGTCTTAAATCTACTGGAGATAAGAAACAGACAATGTTGAATCTCAACTACCACTGGATGGACTGGATTACAGGACTCTAGAGCCATGAGAGCACTGCAAGAGTCAACTACAACAACAAAGAAGCATTGACAGCGAGAAAGCAGGAGACGAAGAGCATAGAGAATAGCATAAAGTTCTGCCGTGAAGATGCTAGTCTCCGGTATATAACAACGTTATATGGAGGACCTATGGCAATTCCACGACCGAGAGATGGCTTCCTGAACCTTGCAGGAATTAACCTCACTGAGGACCAAGTCACTCTCCTAAATCTGGGTATAAACTGTCACGTTATGTCCAGACCGAGTGAGATGGCCCGGAAAGTGGAGTTGGAAATTCTGTTGGACGACATATTCGACCTCGAGACACAAAAGAAGGTCACTACCATAGATACCTTACAAGCAGAACTTATTGCAGAAGGAGGAAAGAATCGAGGCAACTACAGAAGCACCATACTGTCCCCCGAGCTCAAAGCGGCAGCTAAGAGCCTTCGTGAGAACAAGGAGATAGTTGTCAGGAGAGGTGACAAGTCGCCAATATACGTCATTCTTAAAAAAGACGAATATCTGGCGAAAATGAACCTCATACTCTCTGACCAAACTAAATTTCAAAGGGTAACGAAGGACACTACAGCCGAATTGAAAGCAACGGTCAACAAACTGATCGAAACTGTGAATGCCAAGAAATCCGGACTCCACCTGCCAAAGGTTATTGGGGAATATAAACCTGGATATGAGTATGGAAATGTCAAGACACACAAGCCTGGAAACCCACTTCGGCCAATCATTAGCCAGATACCCACACCCACGTACAGACTGGCGAAGCGACTCAATGGCCTGCTGACTCCTTATGTCCCTTGCGCCTTCAGCCTGAAGTCTCCAAAGGAATTTGTTGACTTATTGCGGGGCACACGGGCCACAGGGATAAGAGCCTCGTTGGACGTAGAATCCCTGTTTACCAATGTACCTGTGGACGAGACAATCGGGATGATAGCCGACAGAGTGTATCGTGATCCGGCCTGCACTCCTCTTGACATACCAGAAAACATTCTGAGGAAACTACTCCAAGCTTGTACTAAAGAGGCACCCTTCTTGAGCCCGGATGGGCACATGTATAAGCAAGTAGATGGGGTCGCCATGGGTTCCCCCCTAGGTGTCCTGTTTGCAAACTTCTACATGGGTACCATCGAGCAAAAAGTCTTAGTCGAAATGAACTTGAAACCGGCCATATACTGCAGGTATGTTGACGACATTTTTACACAGGTACCTGTTGTCAGACATCTGCAGGAGCTGAAGGAGGCATTTGAGCAGAGTTCCGTGCTGCGTTTCACTTACGAGATGGAAAAGGATGGGAAGCTGCCCTTTCTAGATGTAACAGTCATGGAAAAGAGCGGAGGTTTCCACACTGCAGTCTACACTAAGGAAACGAACATAGGAATGTGCCTAAATGCCAACAGCACTGCCCAGACAGGTACAAGAGGAGTGTTGTTAACGCTTATGTCGACCGTGCTCTCAGCCACAGCTCAGAATGGAAGCAAGTCGACGAAGAACTCTGTAGGGTAAGGCAGGTCCTAGTCAACAACGGCTTCTCCAATGGTTTCGTCGAAGACATCATAAGAAGGAAAGTGAAACGCCATGCAACCTCTGAAGAGACAACTAACACAACACCTATACTCCCTTTTAGACTATTTTACAGGAACTTCTTTTCCACAGCTCATAAAACGGAGGAAAGGGTCCTGAAAGATATTGTTAATAGAAACGTTATCCCTACAGACAAAAATCAGAGGATACAACTGACAATTTACTATAAAACAAGAAAAACGGCCAGCCTACTCATGAGAAACTCTCCAGACACAAAGCAGAACGCTTTAAAAGAGACCAACGTCGTCTATGCCTTCAAATGCCCTCTTGGGGGACTGTAAGCTCCAAAAAAACCAGTATATAGGCAAGACAACAACATCTCTTTCTAGGCGTTTAACGATGCATAAGCAACAGGGCTCCATTAAGGAACATATAATCTCTTCCCACAACCAAACCATCGCCAGAGAAATCCTAGTAAACAACACAGAAATCATCGATAGATACAGCGATAGCAGGCGGCTTGACGTTTGCGAGGCACTACACATTAAGAAGTCAACACCAGCAATCAACAGCCAATTAATGCACAACTATATTCTACCCACCTCAAGACTCCGCTCCAATATAGAAGCATCAAGAAATATGGACCAATAGGCTTTCTACAATCACTTCCATTCAATACCCATTGTTTCGTGTTCTGTCTTGTGTTGATGAAATTAATACCCTATTAATACCACCTCACCCCATCCACCTCACTCAAATGTAGATATAAACAAATCGATGTGTAAGTTCTATTCAGTTGTGTATGTGTAAACTAAAGTCTTTGAAAATGTAATAAGTTTTACGAAACGCGCTCAAGTGTCGCGTCAGACTAGAAATAAAAATGAATTTTGGAGAATTGATTTTTGAATTACCACCAACAGTGAAAAGAAACGTACGAAAGATCGAGAAAATTCGTGTTAGAATTATTAATCTTACTTTTTCGGTCATATTTAATAATATATGTCTACAGGAAAGACTGCTATATATATATATATATATATATATATATATATATATATATATATATATATATATATATATATATATATATATATATATATATATATATATATATATATATGTCGTACCTAGTAGCCAGAACGCACTTTTCAGCCTACTATGCAAGGCCCAATTTGCCTAATAAGCCAAGTTTTCATGAATTAATTGTTTTTCGACTACCTAACCTACCTAACCTAACCTAACTTTTTCGGCTACCTAACCTAACCTAACCTATAAAGATAGGTTAGGTTAGGTTAGGTAGGGTTGGTTAGGTTCGGTCATATATCTACGTTAATTTTAACTCCCAATAAAAAAATTGACCTCATACATAATGAAATGGGTAGCTTTATCATTTCATAAGAAAAAAATTAGAGAAAATATATTAATTCATGAAAACTTGGCTTATTAGGCAAATCGGGCCTTGCATAGTAGGCTGAGAAGTGCGTTCTGGCTACTAGGTACGACATAGATATATATATATATATATATCTTATATATATATATATATATATATATATATATATATATATATATATCGCCTCAGTGTGGCGATCCAGAGGGGAAATGCTTGCTGCGTCCTCGGTTCCTGTCTGGAAGCGGAGGAGCTTTAAGTGATCCATAACCTTTAGGCATTTGTCTTGTATGTTTGTAACCTTTATATATATATATATATATATATATATATATATATATATATATATATATATATATATATATATATATATATATATATATATGCAATTGACGATCACAAAACACTGATCATTTTATGCGGAAAATCCACAGAGAAATATGAAAAGAGGTGAACGTTTCGGCTTGTTAAAGCCTTTGTCAACACCAGACTGACTAAGGAGAAGGGAGAAGGGGGAGGATATGTAGTTGTTTCTTAAACTGTTGTGCAATATTAAGTTATAATATTGCACAACAGTTTAAGAAACAACTCTGATAGAGAGGCTTACAATGTCTCATATATATATTCATATATTGTGTGTTCATGAGGCTTTTCATTTTTCTTTTATCCTTATATATATATATATATATATATATATATATATTAGTATATTTTGGTAGCAGTCTTTCCTGTAGACATATTTTATTAAATATGACCGAAAAAGTAAGATTAATAATTCTAACACGAATTTTCTCAATCTTTCGTACATTATGCTTCACTGTTGGAGGTAAATCAAAAATCACTTCTCCAAAATTCATTTTTATTTCTAGTCTGACGCGACACGGGCGCGTTTCGTAAAACTTATTACATTTTCAAAGACTTCACAAATACACAACTGATTAGAACTTGCGTTTCCCTGATTTTATATCTACATTTGAGTGAGGTGGGAAGGGTGATGTGGCATTACATTTGAGTAAGGTGGGAAGGATGATGTGGCATTAGAGGATATTAATAGGGTATTAAAAGTATCAACACAAGACAGAACACGAAACAATGGATATTGAATAGAAGTGTTTGTAGAAAGCCTATTGGTCCATATTTCTTGATGCTTCTATATTGGAGCGGAGTCTTGAGGTGGGTAGAATATAGTTGTGCAATAATTGGCTGTTGATTGCTGGTGTTGACTTCTTGATGTGTAGTGCCTCGCAAACGTCAAGCCGCCTGCTATCGCTGTATCTATCGATGATTTCTGTGTTGTTTACTAGGATTTCTCTGGCGATGGTTTGGTTATGGGAAGAGATTATATGTTCCTTAATGGAGCCCTGTTGTTTATGCATCGTTAAACGCCTAGAAAGAGATGTTGTTGTCTTGCCTATATACTGGGTTTTTTGGAGCTTACAGTCCCCAAGTGGGCATTTGAAGGCATAGACGACGTTAGTCTCTTTTAAAGCGTTCTGTTTCGTGTCTGGAGAGTTTCTCATGAGTAGGCTGGCCGTTTTTCTGGTTTTATAGTAAATCGTCAGTTGTATCCTCTGATTTTTGTCTGTAGGGATAACGTTTCTATTAACAATATCTTTCAGGACCCTTTCCTCTGTTTTATGAGCTGTGGAAAAGAAGTTCCTGTAAAATAGTCTAATAGGGGGTATAGGTGTTGTGTTAGTTGTCTCTTCGGAGGTTGCATGGCTTTTCACTTTCCTTCTTATGATGTCTTCGATGAAACCATTGGAGAAGCCGTTATTGACTAGAACCTGCCTTACCCTACAGAGTTCTTCGTCGACTTGCTTCCATTCTGAGCTGTGGCTGAGAGCACGGTCGACGTATGCGTTAACAACACTCCTCTTGTACCTGTCAGGGCAGTCGCTGTTGGCATTTAGGCACATTCCTATGTTTGTTTCCTTTGTGTAGACTGCAGTGTGGAAACCTCCGCCCTTTTCCATGACTGTTACATCTAGAAAAGGCAGCTTCCCATCCTTTTCCGTCTCGTAAGTGAAACGCAGCACGGAACTCTGCTCAAATGCCTCCTTCAGCTCCTGCAGATGTCTGACATCAGGTACCTGTGTAAAAATGTCGTCAACATACCTGCAGTATATGGCCGGTTTCAAGTTCATGTCGACTAAGACTTTTTGCTCGATGGTACCCATGTAGAAGTTTGCAAACAGGACACCTAGGGGAGAACCCATAGCGACCCCATCTACTTGCTTATACATGTGCCCATCCGGGCTCAAGAAGGGTGCCTCTTTAGTACAAGCTTGGAGTAGTTTCCTCAGAATACTTTCTGGCATGTCAAGAGGAGTACAGGCTGGATCACGATACACTCTGTCGGCTATCATTCCGATTGTCTCGTCCACAGGTACGTTGGTAAACAGCGATTCTACGTCCAACGAGGCTCTTATCCCTGTGGCCCGTGCGCCCCGCAGTAAGTCCACAAATTCCTTTGGAGACTTCAGGCTGAAGGCGCAAGGAACATAAGGAGTCAGCAGGCCGTTGAGTCGCTTCGCCAATCTGTACGTGGGTGTGGGTATCTGGCTAATGATTGGCCGAAGTGGGTTTCCAGGCTTGTGCGTCTTGACATTTCCATACGCATATCCAGGTTTATATTCCCCAATGATCTTTGGCAGGTGGAGTCCGGATTTCTTGGCGTTCACAGTTTCGATCAGTTTGTTGACCTTTGCTTTTAATTCGGCTGTAGTGTCCTTCGTTACCCTTTGGAACTTAGTTTGGTCAGAGAGTATGATGTTCATTTTCGCCAGATATTCGTCTTTTTTAAGAATGACATATATTGGCGACTTGTCACCTCTCCTGACAACTATCTCCTTGTTCTCACGAAGGCTTTTAGCTGCCGCTCTAAGCTCGGGGGACAGTATGGTGCTTCTGTAGTTGCCTCGATTCTTTCCTCCTTCTGCAATAAGTTCTGCTTGTAAGGTATCTTTGGTAGTGACCTTCTTTTGTGTCTCGAGGTCGAATATGTCGTCCAACAGAATTTCCAACTCCACTTTCCGGGCCATTTCACTCGGTCTGGACATAACATGACAGTTTATGCCCAGATTTAGGAGAGTGACTTGGTCCTCAGTGAGGTTAATTCCTGCAAGGTTCAGGAAGCCATCTCTTGGTCGTGGAATTGCCATAGGTCCTCCATATAATGTTGTTAGTTTCTTGATAATCCTTGTTTCAGTGCTGAGGTGATGTTGGTCTGTGAGGATGTCGAGGTGTTGTTCAATGCGGGTACGGATACTATGGTCGATGTTGCTATTTCTCCACTCGTTTGTAGCATGAAGTAGTTGCGTTTTTTTGTCTTTGATTTCATTCTCTGCCTTGTATATCTGATCACGAATCAGATCCTGGCGATATTTTATCGTGAAGGCTTGATTCCTTGCTGCTGGGTCGTGCACTTTAACATTAGTATATTTTGGTAGCAGTCTTTCCTGTAGACATATTTTATTAAATATGACCGAAAAAGTAAGATTAATAATTCTAACACGAATTTTCTCAATCTTTCGTACATTATGCTTCACTGTTGGAGGTAAATCAAAAATCACTTCTCCAAAATTCATTTTTATTTCTAGTCTGACGCGACACGGGCGCGTTTCGTAAAACTTATTACATTTTCAAAGACTTCACAAATACACAACTGATTAGAACTTGCGTTTCCCTGATTTTATATCTACATTTGAGTGAGGTGGGAAGGGTGATGTGGCATTACATTTGAGTAAGGTGGGAAGGATGATGTGGCATTAGAGGATATTAATAGGGTATTAAAAGTATCAACACAAGACAGAACACGAAACAATGGATATTGAATAGAAGTGTTTGTAGAAAGCCTATTGGTCCATATTTCTTGATGCTTCTATATTGGAGCGGAGTCTTGAGGTGGGTAGAATATAGTTGTGCAATAATTGGCTGTTGATTGCTGGTGTTGACTTCTTGATGTGTAGTGCCTCGCAAACGTCAAGCCGCCTGCTATCGCTGTATCTATCGATGATTTCTGTGTTGTTTACTAGGATTTCTCTGGCGATGGTTTGGTTATGGGAAGAGATTATATGTTCCTTAATGGAGCCCTGTTGTTTATGCATCGTTAAACGCCTACAGACAAAAAAGAGATACAACTGACGATTTACTATAAAACCAGAAAAACGGCCAGCCTACTCATGAGAAACTCTCCAGACCGAAACAGAACGCTTTAAAAGAGACTAACGTCGTCTATGCCTTCAAATGCCCACTTGGGGACTGTAAGCTCCAAAAAACCCAGTATATAGGCAAGACAACAACATCTCTTTCTAGGCGTTTAACGATGCATAAACAACAGGGCTCCATTAAGGAACATATAATCTCTTCCCATAACCAAACCATCGCCAGAGAAATCCTAGTAAACAACACAGAAATCATCGATAGATACAGCGATAGCAGGCGGCTTGACGTTTGCGAGGCACTACACATCAAGAAGTCAACACCAGCAATCAACAGCCAATTATTGCACAACTATATTCTACCCACCTCAAGACTCCGCTCCAATATAGAAGCATCAAGAAATATGGACCAATAGGCTTTCTACAAACACTTCTATTCAATATCCATTGTTTCGTGTTCTGTCTTGTGTTGATACTTTTAATACCCTATTAATATCCTCTAATGCCACATCATCCTTCCCACCTTACTCAAATGTAATGCCACATCACCCTTCCCACCTCACTCAAATGTAGATATAAAATCAGGGAAACGCAAGTTCTAATCAGTTGTGTATTTGTGAAGTCTTTGAAAATGTAATAAGTTTTACGAAACGCGCCCGTGTCGCGTCAGACTAGAAATAAAAATGAATTTTGGAGAAGTGATTTTTGATTTACCTCCAACAGTGAAGCATAATGTACGAAAGATTGAGAAAATTCGTGTTAGAATTATTAATCTTACTTTTTCGGTCATATTTAATAAAATATGTCTACAGGAAAGACTGCTACCAAAATATACTAATGTTAAAGTGCACGACCCAGCAGCAAGGAATCAAGCCTTCACGATAAAATATCGCCAGGATCTGATTCGTGATCAGATATACAAGGCAGAGAATGAAATCAAAGACAAAAAAACGCAACTACTTCATGCTACAAACGAGTGGAGAAATAGCAACATCGACCATAGTATCCGTACCCGCATTGAACAACACCTCGACATCCTCACAGACCAACATCACCTCAGCACTGAAACAAGGATTATCAAGAAACTAACAACATTATATGGAGGACCTATGGCAATTCCACGACCAAGAGATGGCTTCCTGAACCTTGCAGGAATTAACCTCACTGAGGACCAAGTCACTCTCCTAAATCTGGGCATAAACTGTCATGTTATGTCCAGACCGAGTGAAATGGCCCGGAAAGTGGAGTTGGAAATTCTGTTGGACGACATATTCGACCTCGAGACACAAAAGAAGGTCACTACCAAAGATACCTTACAAGCAGAACTTATTGCAGAAGGAGGAAAGAATCGAGGCAACTACAGAAGCACCATACTGTCCCCCGAGCTTAGAGCGGCAGCTAAAAGCCTTCGTGAGAACAAGGAGATAGTTGTCAGGAGAGGTGACAAGTCGCCAATATATGTCATTCTTAAAAAAGACGAATATCTGGCGAAAATGAACATCATACTCTCTGACCAAACTAAGTTCCAAAGGGTAACGAAGGACACTACAGCCGAATTAAAAGCAAAGGTCAACAAACTGATCGAAACTGTGAACGCCAAGAAATCCGGACTCCACCTGCCAAAGATCATTGGGGAATATAAACCTGGATATGCGTATGGAAATGTCAAGACGCACAAGCCTGGAAACCCACTTCGGCCAATCATTAGCCAGATACCCACACCCACGTACAGATTGGCGAAGCGACTCAACGGCCTGCTGACTCCTTATGTTCCTTGCGCCTTCAGCCTGAAGTCTCCAAAGGAATTTGTGGACTTACTGCGGGGCGCACGGGCCACAGGGATAAGAGCCTCGTTGGACGTAGAATCGCTGTTTACCAACGTACCTGTGGACGAGACAATCGGAATGATAGCCGACAGAGTGTATCGTGATCCAGCCTGTACTCCTCTTGACATGCCAGAAAGTATTCTGAGGAAACTACTCCAAGCTTGTACTAAAGAGGCACCCTTCTTGAGCCCGGATGGGCACATGTATAAGCAAGTAGATGGGGTCGCTATGGGTTCTCCCCTAGGTGTCCTGTTTGCAAACTTCTACATGGGTACCATCGAGCAAAAAGTCTTAGTCGACATGAACTTGAAACCGGCCATATACTGCAGGTATGTTGACGACATTTTTACACAGGTACCTGATGTCAGACATCTGCAGGAGCTGAAGGAGGCATTTGAGCAGAGTTCCGTGCTGCGTTTCACTTACGAGACGGAAAAGGATGGGAAGCTGCCTTTTCTAGATGTAACAGTCATGGAAAAGGGCGGAGGTTTCCACACTGCAGTCTACACAAAGGAAACAAACATAGGAATGTGCCTAAATGCCAACAGCGACTGCCCTGACAGGTACAAGAGGAGTGTTGTTAACGCATACGTCGACCGTGCTCTCAGCCACAGCTCAGAATGGAAGCAAGTCGACGAAGAACTCTGTAGGGTAAGGCAGGTTCTAGTCAATAACGGCTTCTCCAATGGTTTCATCGAAGACATCATAAGAAGGAAAGTGAAAAGCCATGCAACCTCCGAAGAGACAACTAACACAACACCTATACCCCCTATTAGACTATTTTACAGGAACTTCTTTTCCACAGCTCATAAAACAGAGGAAAGGGTCCTGAAAGATATTGTTAATAGAAACGTTATCCCTACAGACAAAAATCAGAGGATACAACTGACGATTTACTATAAAACCAGAAAAACGGCCAGCCTACTCATGAGAAACTCTCCAGACACGAAACAGAACGCTTTAAAAGAGACTAACGTCGTCTATGCCTTCAAATGCCCACTTGGGGACTGTAAGCTCCAAAAAACCCAGTATATAGGCAAGACAACAACATCTCTTTCTAGGCGTTTAACGATGCATAAACAACAGGGCTCCATTAAGGAACATATAATCTCTTCCCATAACCAAACCATCGCCAGAGAAATCCTAGTAAACAACACAGAAATCATCGATAGATACAGCGATAGCAGGCGGCTCGACGTTTGCGAGGCACTACACATCAAGAAGTCAACACCAGCAATCAACAGCCAATTATTGCACAACTATATTCTACCCACCTCAAGACTCCGCTCCAATATAGAAGCATCAAGAAATATGGACCAATAGGCTTTCTACAAACACTTCTATTCAATATCCATTGTTTCGTGTTCTGTCTTGTGTTGATACTTTTAATACCCTATTAATATCCTCTAATGCCACATCATCCTTCCCACCTTACTCAAATGTAATGCCACATCACCCTTCCCACCTCACTCAAATGTAGATATAAAATCAGGGAAACGCAAGTTCTAATCAGTTGTGTATTTGTGAAGTCTTTGAAAATGTAATAAGTTTTACGAAACGCGCCCGTGTCGCGTCAGACTAGAAATAAAAATGAATTTTGGAGAAGTGATTTTTGATTTACCTCCAACAGTGAAGCATAATGTACGAAAGATTGAGAAAATTCGTGTTAGAATTATTAATCTTACTTTTTCGGTCATATTTAATAAATATATATATATATATATATATATATATATATATATATATATATATATATATATATATATATCTCTTCATATCTCATCCCATGCAACTCCGGGACAATTCTTGTTGCAAATTTGTTAACCTTTCCAAGTTTCCTAAAGTGTTTCTTTAGGTGGGGGCTCCATGATGGGGCTAAATACTCGAAGACTGGTCTCATGTAGGCAGTGTAAAGCACTCTGACTTTTCTTAGATTTCTGAATGACTAACTTTTGCTAGTATAGAGTACGCTGCTGTCATTATCCGATTTATATGTGCCGCAAGAGTTAGATTTGATGTCATTCCACTCTCAGGTCTCTTTCTCGAATCGTCACAGGACGCTAGTTTCCCTTCATTGTGTATTAACCTCTTGGTCTCCTGTCACCAAGTCTTATTTCCTCAATTTTACACTTGCTCGTGTTGAACTCCAGTAGCCATTTCTCTGACCATCTCTGCAGCTTGTTCAAGTCCTCTTGGAGGATCCTACAATACTCATCGGTCACAACTCGTCTCATTAACTTCGTGTCATTCGCGAACATCGACCTATAAGACTTGACTCCCGTAGACATGTCGTTCATGTATATTAGAAATAGAACCGATCCATGAGGTACTCCACACGTTACTGTTTGCCAGGCCGACTTCTTGCTCCTGACTGTTACTCTCTGGCTCCGTCCTGTTAAGTAATTCTTTACCCAGGCTAGGGCTATTCCGCTTACTCCCGCCTGCCTTTCAAGTTTGAATAGCAGTCTCCTGTGCGGTAGTGCATTAAAGGCTTTTTGGCAGTTCAGAAATATACAGTCTGACCATTCTTCCCTGTCCTGCCTTATTCTTGTTACTTTATCGTAGAATCCAGGTTTGTTAAGCATGATTTCCCTTCTTTGAATCCATGTTGGTGTTTGTTTGCATACTTAATATTCTCTAAGTCTTAACCTGATTATTCTTTCAAGTACATTACAGGGGATGCTTGTTAATGATACTGGTCTGTAGTTAAGTGCCTCTTCCTTATCTCCTTTTTTAAAAATTGGTACAACATTTACCATCTTCCAGCAATTCGGCAACTTTTCCTTAAGTGATTCATTAAAAATCCTTGCTAGAGGCACGCTGAGGGCCTGCGCTGCCTTTTTTAGTATCCACGGTGATACTTTGTCTGGTCCAACTGCTTCAGTTTCATCCAGTGTTGTCAGCTGTTTCATTACTTCCTATATCTGTTATAGAAGTTGTTGAAGCACACACACACACGCACACAGTTGTGTGTGTGTGTGTGTGTGTGTACTCACCTAGTTGTACTCACCTAGTTGTGTTTGCGGGGGTTGAGCTCTGGCTCTTTGGTCCCGCCTCTCAACCGTCAATCAACAGGTGTACAGATTCCTGAGCCTATCGGGCTCTGTCATATCTACATTTGAAACTGTGTATGGAGTCAGCCTCCACCACATCACTTCCTAATGCATTCCATTTGTCAACCACTCTGACACTAAAAAAGTTCTTTCTAATATCTCTGTGGCTCATTTGGGCACTCAGTTTCCACCTGTGTCCCCTTGTGCGTGTTCCCCTTGTGTTAAATAGACTGTCTTTATCTACCCTATCAATCCCCTTCAGAATCTTGAATGTGGTGATCATGTCCACCCTAACTCTTCTGTCTTCCAGCGAAGTGAGGTTTAATTCCCGTAGTCTCTCCTCGTAGCTCATACCTCTCAGCTCGGGTACTAGTCTGGTGGCAAACCTTTGAACCTTTTCCAGTTTAGTCTTATCCTTGACTAGATATGGACTCCATGCTGGGGCTGCATACTCCAGGATTGGCCTGACATATGTGGTATACAAAGTTCTGAATGATTCTTTACACAAGTTTCTGAATGCTGTTCGTATGTTGGCCAGCCTGGCATATGCCGCTGATGTTATCCGCTTGATATGTGCTGCAGGAGACAGGTCTGGCGTGATATCAACCCCCAAGTCTTTTTCCTTCTCTGACTCCTGAAGAATTTCCTCTCCCAAATGATACCTTGTATCTGGCCTCCTGCTCCCTACACCTATCTTCATTACATTACATTTGGTTGGGTTAAACTCTAACAACCATTTGTTCGACCATTCCTTCAGCTTGTCTAGGTCTTCTTGAAGCCTCAAACAGTCCTCTTCTGTTTTAATCCTTCTCATAATTTTAGCATCGTCCACAAACATTGAGAGAAATGAATCGATACCCTCCGGGAGATCATTTACATATATCAGAAACAAGATAGGACCGAGTACAGAGCCCTGTGGGACTCCACTGGTGACTTCACGCCAATCGGAGGTCTCACCCCTCACCGTAACTCTCTGCTTCCTATTGCTTAGATACTCCCTTATCCACTGGAGCACCTTACCAGCTACTGTGTGTATGTGTGTGCGTGCGTGCGCGCATGTGTGTGTGTGTTTACTATTTGTATTTACTATTTGTATATACAGAATCGAGATATTAGCTCATGGACTCCTTTCTAACCAATCTACTTTTCTTCTACTATGTCTACTACTACTCTCTCTAACACACAGCCCGTAGCAGGTGTCTAACTCCCAGATACATATTTACTGCTAGGTGAACAGTGGCATCAGGATGAAAGAAACCCGCCATACTCGCTGAAAGAGTACGCACGTAGATGTGCTTGCAGGGTTGAGCTAGGCTCTTGGGCCCCCACCTTCTGAACGTTCTTGGAGTAATGCAGTGACTCATTTCTCACGCTTTTATCATACTTAGATTTACAATTGTGAATTGAATTAGCTTTAATGACTTCTACGTCTAACTTATTCCACTTAATGACAACTCTAACACTGAAGAAGTTCTTCCTGGCGTTTGTGACTCATTTGCGTCTCCATGACCGCTCGTCCCGCTGTTGCAAGCTTTGAACACCACCACTCTCTCTACTCTGTGAATTTCCCTTGGAACCTTATATGTAGTTATCGTGTGGGTGGTGGGGCAGACGTGCACTTGAGCTCTAGGCTTGTAGTTATTAATATACAATTTTAAGGTGAGAATGAGGCCGGCTGTTTCACGCTGTAAACAAACTCTACAGTGTGATGTATCCGCATGACAACACATTGTCAAAAGTAGATGTTGCTGGCATGCCCTAAGGTAGACGCATCTCCTGTTACTAACTCTGCCTCACTCAATACTATACTGAACTTATGGTCTAGAGGAACCCTTCCTTCCCTCCCACACACACACACGTGGGAGATCAGCACGGTGAAGCTTACGCTGAGAGCAGGTCCATAACAACTCTTGGCCACAGCAGCTGCCAGCAGACGCAGCTTGACGGAGCTCTGGGGAGAGAGACGCAGGTCTTGTTACTCGCCTCAGTAGCAACATTCTTTTATAGTATAACATAATGTTTAATGTAACCATTGGTGCAGTCCTGCCGGAGCTCGCCGGGGCACCGCTCCAGCACCTCTGTAAGTGGAGGATGGAATGGGGGGAAAGAGAGTATGAGGGGAGAGAGAGGATGAGGGGAGAGAGAGAGAGGATGAGGGGAAAGGGAGATGAAGGCTTGTGGGTGATGGTTGACCGTGGCAGGAAAATATTTGTATTACATCACTAATAAGGTAATAATGTTATGATATTTATTGATTTTTTTAAAGATTTTTTAAAGATTTAAAGATTAAATTGTTATATATTTAAAAGGGTAAACAGGCTGAATTGTAGTGGTAGGAATATGTGCACGTAAGACTTGACGCTGGTCAACACTTCCTATCCATTTATGTCAGACAAACGATATGAGACACACACAAAAAAAATACTACGGGCTCACCATAGCCCGTGCTACTTGGAACTTTTTGTTCCCGGTAGCGAATCTTAAACAACAACAAGAAATGTGGAAGAAAAAAGAGGAAACCTGTTCATACTTAGACTTCAGAGATGATCAACTTGGGTGTAAAGTATGTACAAACATAAGTAATGTAACACTTTTCACTTCTAAGGGTTTAAGACTATCCAGCGAGCGGCGGCAGATGGTACAAGTATCCTATCATGAAGCAGGTCGAAGTACACGCTTGAAGTCTCTCAGGCAACAAATTGTTGATCATAAACTATAGAAAGTTCACACTGCTGCTTTACGTGTTGAAAATGCAGCTAGTGAAGATGCTCTTGGAACATTGTGTGAGGCCATGAAGGCTTCGCATCTGAAGACAACTTGTTCCATTTTCCGTTCTGTACATTATTTAGCTCAGAATGACAGACCAAACTCTGATAACTTTGGCTTACTGGAATTACAAAAGCAAAATGGTGTTGCCATTGGAATAGGACTGCATTCCCGCACTAGTACCACGGAGATAATTTATCAAATGGTCATTAATATGAAAAATAAAATTTGCCAGCATATCAAGCAGATAAATGGTAAAATTTCTGTCCTCATTGATGATGAATCAACAAACCTGAGCATTAAAACAACCTTAATTGTTTACTTGAAATGTGAAAGTGATAAGTAATCCCCATTTCATGTTCTTAGATCTAATTGAACTACCTGACCAGAAAGCAACAACTATATCTTGGCATCTATTGAGTTGTCTGAATTTGATGACTTATATTGGAAAGAGAACCTTGTAGCATGTGTCAGTGATGGGGCAAGTGTCATGCTGGGTGTCAAATCTGGCGTTACAACAATTCTCAAGGAACTTTACCCTGATATAATAATCTGGCATTGTCTTAATCACAGATCACAACTTGCAGTAGGTGATGCAGCTCGTGGAATTAATAATTTTCAAGCATTTTCGGCAGATGGCACCCGGACCAGAGTTGCCTCACACCCCTATAAACACCTCACACCTCACACCTCACACCTCACCCTTTGTGCAAACTCTTGTGACACTTCTCACTGGTTGTATTTGGTGAGCACTAAGTGCTTTAACTTCATAAATTGAAAAATACATGATTGATGTTTTTTTATTTGATAATTATATTTTATGATAATTAGTGAGTACAAACACGAAATACTTAATCGTATGACAAGTACAGAAACAGGTTAGGAAAATGACAGGCTTTTGTGAGGCCCAGCAGAGCTCCCGCACCTATAATATTGGCACTGCCCTCCTGATCGTAACTCCTCTACACCACACCGCCATTAGTTACAGCCGTGTGCATCAGGAACGTCTCCATCCTTACCACTAACTTGTTCTCACAACCGTTAACTATTCCATTCATATCCGAAATACTACTTAAATTACCAGTTTGGAGAGAGTGGCAATCTCTGCCAGGAGCCAATCAGGGCAGTCGATGTCCCAGCAGAACCGGAACCTCTGGAAAAAGTAACCAATTAGTAGATAGACATTCTGAAGACGGACCAATCACACACACACACACACACACACACACACACACACACACACACACACACACACACACACACACACACACACACACACAATGAAGATAGGTGTAGGGAGCAGGAGGCCAGATACAAGGTATCATCTGGGAGAGGAAATTCTTCAGGAGTCAGAGAAGGAAAAAGACTTGGGGGTTGATATCACGCCAGACCTGTCTCCTGCAGCACATATCAAGCGGATAACATCAGCGGCATATGCCAGGCTGGCCAACATACGAACGGCATTCAGAAACTTGTGTAAAGAATCATTCAGAACTTTGTATACCACATATGTCAGGCCAATCCTGGAGTATGCAGCCCCAGCATGGAGTCCATATCTAGTCAAGGATAAGACTAAACTGGAAAAGGTTCAAAGGTTTGCCACCAGACTAGTACCCGAGCTGAGAGGTATGAGCTACGAGGAGAGACTACGGGAATTAAACCTCACTTCGCTGGAAGACAGAAGAGTTAGGGGGGACATGATCACCACATTCAAGATTCTGAAGGGGATTGATAGGGTAGATAAAGACAGTCTATTTAACACAAGGGGAACACGCACAAGGGGACACAGGTGGAAACTGAGTGCCCAAATGAGCCACAGAGATATTAGAAAGAACTTTTTTAGTGTCAGAGTGGTTGACAAATGGAATGCATTAGGGGGTGATGTGGTGGAGGCTGACTCCATACACAGTTTCAAGTGTAGATATGACAGAGCCCGATAGGCTCAGGAATCTGTACACCTGTTGATTGACGGTTGAGAGGCGGGACCAAAGAGCCAGAGCTCAACCCCCGCAAACACAACTAGGTGAGAACTAGGTGAGTACACACACACACACTTAAAGAGAATTAGGTATGTAAACCAACATCATCATGGGTTCAAAGAAGGGAAATCATGCCTAACAAGTCTTCTTAAATTCTATGATTAAGTAACAAGAATACGGCAGGACAGGGAAGGCTGGGCAGACTGCATATTTCTGGATTATCAAAAAGCCTTTGATACAGTACCGCAGAGGAGATTACTATACAAACTTGAGAGGCAGGCAGGAGTAACCGGAAATGCCCTAGCATGGGTAAGAAATTACCTAACAGGCAGGAGCCAGAGAGTAACAGTAAGGGGCAAGAAGTCAGAGTGGCGAACAGAAACGAGTGGAGTACCTCAAGGATCGGTGCTGGGACCCTCTCTCACTCTAATATACGTAAATGACATGTGTACAAAAGTTGAGTCTTAAATGTAAGTGTTTGTAGATGGCGTGGAATTAATGAGACGAGTTGTTACAGATGAGGTTTGAAAGACCCTGCAAGAGGACTTGAACAAGTTTCGGAGATGGTTGGAGAAATGGCTACTGGAGTTCAACGTGTTCAAGTATAAAGTGATGGACATGAGAATAGGGAATAGGAGACCAAAGGGACAGTACACAATGAAGGGAAGCTACCGACCTGTGACTTGGGAAAGCGACCTGGGAGTGGACATAACACCTAATCTAACTCCTGAGGCACACATAAATAGGATAACGACAGCAGCGTACTGTACACTGGCAAAAGTTAAAACATCATTCATGAACCTAAGTAAAGTGACGTTTAGAGCGCTTTACACTGCCAACATGAGACCAATCTTAGAGTATGCCGCACCGTCGTAAAGCCCCCACCTGAAAAAAACACATAAGGAAACAAGAAAAGGTTCAGAAATTTGCGTCGAGGCTTGTCCCAGAATTGAGAGGGATGGTGTATGAAGAGCAACTGAAAGAACTGAACATGACGACATTAGAAAAAAAGAAGGGAGGAGTCATGATAGAGATGTATAAAATACTTAAGGGGATTGATAACGTCGCGATCAGTACAAGATTAATCTTTGTTAATCATCCTTGAAGATTAATTTGGCAACTAGCCTAGGTCAGTCTCTCAGCTTGAGAGAGTTGGCGAAGTTTAGTGTGGTCTGGGCAGCGACTGGAGGAGGTGACTCCTCCCTGGGGGGGGGGGGAGAGGTCAAGGTCACAACCTCTGGCCCCAGGACTTTGCAGGGGGTAAGGTTAAGTCTCTGTTAATGTACTGTTTAATAACGTCATGTTATTTGCCTAAATTAGGATCAAGTCAGCTAGGGAGTGTTCATTTATAACTAATTTGTATTTTAATAAATTTGATTATTCATTTATTCGTGTTTAGTGAGTTCCCTTTCTTGTGCTTCATGATTATGCGGCTCTTCAGATCCCGGGCTGTGGCCGATAACACCTCGGGCTCCCTGCATGTTTCTTTATCGTTTCAATAGATGTTCCCTTGTTCTAGTTCAGTAAGCCACATTTAATAGTAAAGTCATCCCTCCTATTCATAACTGAGGATCCATATTCAGGGGATTATGTCTAATGGGCGATTTCCTGTTTCATCGTCCATTAGAGGGGATTAATCAGGGTGGAGTGATTCAGGTGGTGGTAGTGGAATGTTCTAGAGTTACGGGTAGCTGATCAAGTACAATGCCTTCTTGGTGTAGTACCTAGATTATCAAATACCTAGGTGACAAGATGTTGAACTGGAGAGGATGCAGTAGTAGCTCTAGGGGAACTATAGAAGAGTTAACTAAGGGCGGGATAATGGACAAAAGAGCCATTTTCCTAGTCCCCGTTAAATGAAAAAGGTCAACGACTCTCCTGGAACGACCCAAGCATGGCACAACCTCCTAATGTTTGGCAACATATGTCTAGCCACCCCTGCAAGGAGAGACAAAACCTTAGCTGCCTCAGTCATCAAAGCCATAAATGATTTCCCAGGGAGGACAACCAGGTGCACCTTCCCACTCGCGCGAGAAACACCCACGGCAGGAAGAGCAACAGTGGCGTATCTGTGACATCGAAAATCAGAACAAGTCACTATGAAAATAGAAGAAGGAACCCTATAGGCACAATAAGAGTCATCACCAGTGAGGACTCAGTTGTTGAGAGATGCCGCAACAGTTCAAGCCCTAAGGGACAAACACCCACCCAGGGCTCCACGTGAGGACGAGATTCTACCAGTTGGGTTACTGGAACAGAACCTCTCTGGGTGGCCGAATCTGTGGTTCATAAAGCAGCCTTGATCTTCCCAACAGGATCAGCAGGTGGGTTTACAGGACTAAAACCCAATCATATCAAACAAATGCTGAACCCTGCACTGGGTGATATTGCACAGGGCCTCCTGGTGGAACTAACTAGATTCACCAACATATGTCCAGCTGGCAATATACCAGACCCTCATAAGACCTTTCTTTTTCGGAGCATCTCTCTGTGCTCTAAGGAAAAAGAATGTAGGGATCAGATAATAACTGTGGGCAATTCCTTCCAGCGTCTCGTCGCAAAGGCTGCTGCGAGAACAGTTAGCGAGGGAGCGGAAAACATGATAAAGCCAAAACCTCTTGGGTTCGGCATTCCACAAGGGTGCAAGGCGGCAGCTCATGCAACTCGAGCTTTCGTCATTAACATCTCAGACGGAAAGGCCCTGATCAAACTAGAATTAAAAAATGCCTTCAATTTAGTGTGGAGGGATGCTGTACTCCGTGCGGTTCATAGTCATTTCCCTTCCCTCTACCATTTTGTACATTCATGCTACAGTATGGATCTTAAGCTACTTTTTGGCGAATATGAAATTGACTCGCGAGAAGGCGTCCAACAGGGTGACCCCCTTGCTCCTCTCCTTTTCTGCTTAGTCATCAAACAAGTCGCAGAATTCCTGTCCAGCGAGCTCAACATCTGGTTCTTGGATGATGGTACCCTAGCTGGTTCCCAAGACTCCCTCCTGGGGGACATCAGAACAATCCAGGAGCAAGGTGCAAATTTAGGCCTCACCCTGAACTCTTTTTTTTTTTTTTAAGTGTGAAATAATATGTTCCAAACAGGGGGTATCGGAGAGAATAGGATGTTCTGCCAAATATCCATATAACCAAACCCGAAGACAGCACACTCCTAGGAGCCCCCCTGGGGGTTGAAGGTCATCGATGATGTCCTTGATACGAAAATCGCTGACCTTAAGAGGATGGTCACTTAAACCACCACCATCAAAAGCCCACAAGCAGTCCAGCTGGGATGGCCCCATTGTAGACCAAGTTGCTGCAGAGTGTCTGGGTGCTGCAACAACACAACACGACATTGCTCGCCTCACAGCAGTAGCAGCACCACATGCAGGGGATTTCTTGTTAGCAACCCCAATGTCGGCAACTGGCACGCGTCTCACACCACACGCCCTCCGCCTTGCTGCCCCAATCCACATCAAATATAGGTGTATTTGCGGCGAGGTGGAGGCCGACAGATACGGCCACCTTTCGACTGTCCCCCATTGCTTCCGAAACACTTGGCATTTGGCATAAGAGTGCCACACAAGTTTTTTTTTTAAGGAACTGGGTTCTAGGCTAATTAAAACAACAAGAGACTCTAGAGCTTCCAGCTTCCATTTCCAATGCCTCAGTGTGGCGATACAGAGGAGAAATGCACACTGCATTCAGGGTTCCTGTCTGCCATCTGAGGAGCTATATATATATATATATATATAGGATGTATATATATATATATATATATATATATATATATATATATATATGTATATATATATATATATATATATATATATATATATATATATATATATATATATATATATAAACAAGAACAAAAAACTCACCATTATTAAGCGCTCGTGTTAGGTCCTTCGATCTGAAATATTAGAGAAAACAGTTGTTATGATGATCTAAATGTAAGCCATTAACATATATATAAACACAATGTACATGTTTCCCAGTGATGGTTCTTCCAACACACCAAGTGTTTATATATTAACTTCTCTCATATATCTACAACTTTGTTCCCAAACCCAGTTTATTTTCTGAATCAAAACTTGTCCAACTGTTCCGTGTTCCATTTTGTATATATTTAAAACCTATTTAAATTCCCTTTGTGGTACTTTTCATTCCCTTGAATAGTTACGTCATCCCGTTACTCTTCACCTGTCCGGAGAGTGTTGACTAAACTTCCATAGTCTCTTAGTGAGGGAGCGTCCTAATGCCCAGGGTAAACTGTGTCACCTTGGCGGGCAGTGAGTCACAACAACCTGGCTGAACATTATACACCCAGGCCATACTCATCTGACATTAAGGGAAGTGACGACGTTTCGGTCCGTGTTGGGTCATTATCAAGTGGCGTTACTGTGCAGGATGAACCGAAACGTCTTCAATTTTTTTATTTTCAAATTTGAGGGTAGGGTGTCTTGTTATCTTTCTGTGGATTTTCAAATGAACTTGTGTCTACTGGGCAATCTGGTTACCAAAATTAACTGTTTAATATGTTTAATCAATGTGTAATAGTCAACAAAATAAAATCCGGTCCATCAACCGTGAAGAGCTCAGCCCCCAGGGTACTGTGCTTGCTCCAAGACTTTTTCTCATCCTCATATTGGACATAGACAAGGACACAGCCTGTCCTAGTCTGTACTGTACCATCCATTGCAGATGACCCTAGGATTTTTATGAGAGTAGACAACACAGAGGACACGGCAAACTTCCAATCAGATGTAGATCAGGTCTTTCTATGGGCTACAGAAAATAATATGGTGTTTAACGAAGATAAGTTCCAGCTCATGCGCTATGGAAAAAAACGAAAATATAAAAACGGAAACCACGTACAAAACTCAGGCAAATCATAACATAGAACGAAAAGGCAATGCAAAGGATCTGGGCGTACTCATGTCGGAAGACCTTACCTTTAAAGAACACAATAAAGTAGCCGTCACAACTGCAAGAAAAATGACAGGATGGATAACAAGAACTTTTCACACTAGAGATGCTATACCGATGATGATACTTTTCAAGACGCTTGTGCTATCTAGAGTGGAGTACTGCTGCACAATGACAGCCCCTTTCAAAGCTGGAGAAATTACTGACCTGGAGAGCGTGCAGAGATCCTTTACTGCTAAAATTCACTCAGTAAAACATCTAAACTATTGGGACCGACTAAAAGGCCTAAATCTGTGTTCTCTTGAGCGCAGGCGTGAGAGATACATAATAATTTACATGTGAAAAACAGTAGAGGGGCTGCTCCCAAAACTGCACACAGAAATAACATCACATGAGACCAGAAGGCATGGCAGGATGTGCAGAATACTCCCGTTGAAAAGCAGAGGTGCAACAGGTACTCTGAGAGAACTCTATCAACATCAGAGGCCCGAGACTGTTCAACACGCTTCCACTACACATCAGGGGCATAACTCGCCGACCCCTCACAGTGTTCAAGAGAGAACTAGATAAACACCTCCAAAGGATACCTGATCAACCAGGCTGTGATTCGTACGTCAGGCTGCGAGCAGCCGCGTCCAACAGCCTGGTTGACCAATCCAGCATCAAGGAGGCCTGATCGACGACCGGGCCGCAAGGTCGCTAAGCCTCGAAACCATCTCAAGGTAATCTAAACGGGGTCTAACATTGACAAGATGAAGCTGAAGCCCAACATTAGTTGTCCTACGAGTTTCCAAGGAAGCGTGTTCAATCCCATTCCATGACCCCACTATTTGATCAGCTTCAGTTGTCTCGTGACTAAGACGTCTTATAATGTATCCCAGTGTGTCATTTGTCGTATTTCCACTCTTTAAACTTTGATTGTTGTGGACAGTAATCCACGCCTTAGTAATCGTGAATCTACAAAGTCGAACTTCTACATGGGTACCATCGAACAAGAAGGTCTTAGTCGACATGAACTTGAAACCGGCCATATACTGCAGGTATGTTGACGACATTTTTACACAGGTACCTGATGTTAGACATCTGCAGGAGCTGAAGGAGGCATTTGAGCGGAATTCTGTGTTGCGTTTCACTTACGAGATGGAGAAGGATGGGAAGCTGCTCTTTCTAGATGTAATGGTCATGAAAAAAAGCGGAGGTTTCCACACTGCAGTCTACACTAAGGAAACAAACATAGGAATGTGCCTCAATGCCAACAGTGACTGCCCAGACAGGTACAAGAGGAGTGTTGTTAACGCTTACGTCGACCGTGCTCTCAGCCACAGCTCAGGATGGAAGCAAGTCGATGAAGAACTCTGTAGGATAAGGCAGGTCCAAGTCAACAACGGCTTCTCCAATGGTTTCGTTGAAGACATCATGAGAAGGAAGGTGAAACGCCATGCAACCTCTGAAGAGACAACTAACACAACACCTATACCCTCTATTAGACTATTTTACATGAACTTCTTTTACACAGCTTATAAAACGGAGGAAAGGGTCCTGAAAGATATTGTTAATAGGAACGTTATCCCTACAGACAAAAATCAGAAGATACAATTGACGATTTACTATAAAACCAAAAAAACGGCCAACCTACTCATGAGAAACTCTCCAGACACAAAGCAGAACGCTTTAAAGAGACCAACGTCGTCTATGCCTTCAAATGCCCACTAGGGGACTGTAAGCCTCAAAGAACTCAGTATATAGGCAAGACAACAACATCTCTTTCCAGGCGATTAACGATGCATAAGCAACAGGGCTCTATTAAGGAACATATAATCTCTTCCCACAACCAGACCATCACCAGAGAAGTCTTAACAAACAACACAGAAATCATCGATAGATACAGCGATAGCAGGCGGCTTGACATCTGCGAGGCACTACACATCAAGAAGTCAACACCAGCAATCAACAGCCAATTAATGCACAACAGTATTCTACCCACTTCAAGACTCCGCACCAATTTAGAAGCATCAAGAAATGTGCGCCAATAGGCCCTTTGCAGTTACGTCCATTCTTCCCTTTAATTTATCCAATTTATACCCAATGCACCGTGTTCTGTCTTGTGTTGAAAGTTTTGTTCACCTCATCCAAAACTGTTGCAACATATCACCTCACCCATATGCGGGTATATAAGATAAAAGCTGTTTAAATAATAGCATAGTAAAACTTTGTTTAGTGTTTGCAGTTCAAGTGTCGTGTCAGACTAAAAATAAAAATGAATTTTGGAGAATTGATTTTTCAATTACCATCGACAGTGAAAACATAAAAAATATTGAGAAAATTCGTATTAGAATTATTAATCTTACTTTTTCGATCATATTTAATAACATATGTTTACAAGAAAGACTGCTACCAAAAAATACTATTATATATTAATGCACAACATTATTATATATATATATATATATATATATATATATATATATATATATATATATATATATATATATATATATATTAATATATTATAATGTCGTACTTAATAGCCAGAACACACTTCTCGGCCTACTATGCTAGGCCCGATTTGCCTAATAGGCCGAGTGATTTTCTTTATTTTCAATAAATTGTTTCCAATTAGTTATTTTAATTATTAATATATTACCTTAACATAAATTATTGATTTAATAATGTTATTTTAGGTTAGGTTAAGATAGGTTAGGTTAGGTAGGGTTGGTTAGGTTTGGTCATATATCTACGTTAGTTTTAACTCAAATTTAAAAAAAAATTAACTCATACATAACGAAATGGATAGCTTTATCATTTCATAAGAAAAACATATTGAAAAATATATAGATTCAAGAATAATTGGCGTATTAGGCAAATCGAGCCTTGCATAGTAGGCCGAGTACGACGTTCTGGCTACTAGGTACAACATATATATATATATATATGGTACAACAGTTTTGGGTGAGGTGAACAAACTTGTGACAAACACAAGACAAAACACGAAACTCTGGGTATTAATTGGATATGAGAACATAAGAATGGAAGTAACTGCAAAGGGCCTATTGGCCCATACTTTCTCTTGATGCTTCTATATTGGTAAGGAGTCTTGAAGTGGGTCGAATATAGTTGTGCATTAATTGGCTGTTGATTGCTGGTGATGACTTTTTGATGTGTAGTGCCTCGCAGATGTCAAGCCGCCTGCTATCGCTGTATCTATCGATGATTTCTGTGTTGCTTGTTAAGATTTCTCTGGTGATGGTCTGGTTGTGAGAAGAGATTATGTGTTCCTTGATGGAGCCCTTTTGTTTACGCATTGTTAATCGCCTTGAAAGAGACGTTGTTGTCTTGCCTATATACTGAGTTCTTTAAGGCTTAGTCCCCAAGTGGGCATTTGAAGGCATAGACGACGTTGGTTTCCTTTAAGGCGTTCTGCTTGGTGTCTGGAGAGTTTTTCATGAGTAGGTTGGCCGTTTATTTGGTTTTATAGTAAATCGTCAATTGTATTTTCTGATTTTTGTCTGTAGAGATAACGTATCCTATCAACGTTCCTAAACAATATCTTTCAGGACCCTTTCCTCCGTTTTATGAGCTGTGGAAAAGAAGTTCTTGTAAAATAGTCTAATAGGGGGTACATGTGTTAGTTGACTTCAGAGGTTGCATGGCGTTTCACCTTTCTTTTTATGATGTCTTCAACAAAACCCTACAGAGTTCCTCATCGACTTGCTTCCATCCTGAACTGTGGCTGAGAGCATGGTCGACCTAAGTGTTGACAACACTCCTCTTGTACCTGTCTGGGCAGTCACTGTTGGCATTGAGGCACATCTCTATGTTTGTTTCCTTAGTGTAGACTGCAGTGTGGAAGCCTCCTGCAGTGTGAAACAACAATGGTTCGAATTGATATATATTTTGTAAACAAGATCACTAGGACACTGGTTAAAAGATACAGGACACAGAAGGGTGCCAAGGGAGGGGGCCATATAAGGGTGCCAGGGAGGGGCCCATAGGAGGGTGCCAGGGAGAGCCACGAACATTACCAGTGTGGCGGCCGGCAGTATCCATCAGGGCCACAAATCAGGTTAGGGTGGAGCAATCCTGGGGATGTTAGTCAGTAAGTGAGTTAGTGTTTTGGTGGCGTCTTTATTCTTGTCTCGCACGCTGCTCCCCACCAAGTACCTGGCACCTTGGCCCTCTCCCGGCACCTGGCCCTCTCCCGGCACCTGGCCCTCTCCCGGCACCTGGCCCTCTCCCGGCACCTGGCCCTCTCCCGGCACCTGGCCCTCTCCCAGTACCTGGCCCTCTCCCGGCACCTGGCCCTCTCCCGGCACCTGGCCCTCTCCCGGCACCTGGCCCTCTCCCGGCACCTGGCCCTCTCCCGGCACCTGGCCCTCTCCCGGCACCTGGCCCTCTCCCGGCACCTTGGCCCTCTCCCGGCACCTGGCCCTCTCCCGGCACCTGGCCCTCTCCCGGCACCTGGCCCTCTCCCGGCACCTGGCCCTCTCCCGGCACCTGGCCCTCTCCCGGCACTTGGCCCTCTCCCTGCACCTGGCCTCCCTGCACCTGGCCCTCCCTGCACCTGGCCTCCCTGCACCTGGCCCTCTCCCGGCACCTGGCCCTCTCCCGGCACCTGGCACCTTGGCCCTCTCCCGGCACCTGGCACCTTGGCCCTCTCCCGGCACCTGGCACCTTGGCCCTCTCCCGGCACCTGGCACCTTGGCCCTCTCCCGGCACCTGGCACCTTGGCCCTCTCCCGGCACCTGGCACCTTGGCCCTCTCCCGGCACCTGGCACCTTGGCCCTCTCCCGGCACCTGGCCCTCTCCCGGTACCTGGCACCTTGGCCCTCTCCCGGCACCTGGCACCTTGGCCCTCTCCCGGCACCTGGCACCTTGGCCCTCTCCCGGCACCTGGCCCTCTCCCGGTACCTGGCCCTCTCCCGGCACATTGGCCCTCTCCCGGTACCTGGCCCTCTCCCGGCACATTGGCCCTCTCCCGGCACCTGGCCCTCTCCCGGCACCTGGCCCTCTCCCGGTACCTGGCCCTCTCCCGGCACCTGGCCCTCTCCCGGCACCTGGCCCTCTCCCGGCACCTGGTCCTCTCCCAGCACCTGGCCCTCTCTGAGTACCTGGCCCTCTCCCAGTACCTGGCCCTCTCCCGGCACCTGGCACCTTGGCCCTCTCCCGGTACCTGGCCCTCTCCCGGCACCTGGCCCTCTCCCGGCACCTGGCCCTCTCCCAGCACCTGGCCCTCTCTCAGTACCTGGCCCTCTCCCAGTACCTGGCCCTCTCCCGGCACCTGGCACCTTGGCCCTCTCCCGGTACCTGGCCCTCTCCCGGCACCTGGCCCTCTCCCGGCACCTGGTGCTCTCCCAGCACCTGGCCCTCTCTCAGTACCTGGCCCTCTCCCAGTACCTGGCCCTCTCCCGGCACCTGGCACCTTGGCCCTCTCCCGGTACCTGGCCCTCTCCCGGCACCTGGCCCTCTCCCGGCACCTGGCCCTCTCCCGGCACCTGGTCCTCTCCCAGCACCTGGCCCTCTCTGAGTACCTGGCCCTCTCCCAGTACCTGGCCCTCTCCCGGCACCTGGCACCTTGGCCCTCTCCCGGTACCTGGCCCTCTCCCGGCACCTGGCCCTCTCCCGGCACCTGGCCCTCTCCCCCAGGTGTACGCCTCAACACCTGCCCCAACACCACCACCACACCCGGGTCCTCTGGTGGCACCACAGCCTGTGTCTGTTGAACGCTCCACGCTACGAGGTCGTTCGCTATCAACAACCTCGTAGAGCTTTCGCAGCTCATAAACTGTTACACAAGTGTAAATGTGATTGAGGAAAGATGTACAGGTTTCGAAGGTGGAGACATAAATGCTTGATGAATGGTGGGCGTGACGAGGGGCAGTGAGGTGCGTTGGTGTGCCGGGCTCATGATGTATGCAGGGCGAGGGTTGCCCCTTGTTAACGGTATCGAGTCACCGTTGTTGTTGTGTTCCACAACAGGAGGATGGGCAGCAGGGGGACCTAGAGATAAAGCTCGCTCATGCACGCGCAAATAGCCCCACTATTTGGCCTGCACGAGCGCAAAAAAGCAGGTGTGATTGTACAAGCAATCATACCTGCTTTTAAAGTTATGAATGGAGTTTGCCTCTACAACCTGCTCCTTTAGTTAATTCCGTTTTTTTCACTACCCTTACGCTAAAAGAAAACTTTCTAACATCTCTATGACACAACTAAGTCTCAAGCTTCTATCCGTGTTCCCCTTGTTCTATTGGTATTCATTTTGAGAATATTTCCTCTTTTTCCACTCTGTCAATCCCCCAAGTATTTTAAACGTCTGTATCATGTCACCTCTCTATCTCCTCCTTTTTACTGTCGTCAGGTTTAGTTTCTTCAGTCTCTCTTCATACCTCATCCATCGCAACTCTGGGAAGAGTCACGTTGCTAACTTCTGCATCCTTTTAAGCTTCCTCGTGTATTTTTTTTATATGAGGGTTCCATGACGGGGCGGGATACTATACAACTGGCTTCCTGGCATCACAGAGGCAGTATACAGGGATCTATGAGCCTCCTTATTTATATCACCTTGCACTTGCTGGTGTTGAGCTCAAGCAGCTATTTCTCTGATCAGGTCTGCACCTTAAAAGTCACCTTGGTGTGTGTGTATGCGTGCGTGTGAATGAGAGAGAGAGAGAGAGAGAGAGAGAGAGAGAGAGAGAGAGAGAGAGAGAGAGAGAGAGAGAGAGAGAGAGAGATGGATGTGTGAGAGGAAGAGAAGTGTGTGAGAGAGAAATATATATATCTATGTAGTGTAGTAGATATGATAGTAGTAGTAGATACGATAGAGAAAAAAAACAGGTCAAGTGTAAGTACATTAGACAATCGAAGGTTAGAAAAGTGGGGGTCCAGGAGCTAATCCTCCCTACGCTCAGCAACATTAAGCAAACACATACAGATATGTACACATACACAGGCAGTTGAAGTGCGGAGGTGTATACACCAGCACACACACACACACATGGCTCAGGGGGGGGGGGGGGTTATCTCCTTAAACAACTGTCAAACCTGCCACGATATATCGCACTGGTAGATTATGTAACCTAACCACACATTGCCAAGTAATAGAAGTGTCGCTCAGGTTCCTTGTCTGATCGACGCGCTCACAATACTTGCCGCTGTCTCTACTAGTAGATTTTACATTTATTATTATTATTATTATTATTATTATTATTATTATTATTCTTGGAGCCCATTGTCGGGGTAAAGTGATTAGATCTAGACACCAACCTCCCCCCCTCCCGCCCTCGCTCAGAGCACCTGGATAGTTATTTAGATATTTGAGATGATCTGAAAGCATATTACAGTTCCAATAATAGTCTACTTGTAAACAGACAAAATGAGCCTTTATCCTAATCAGAGAATATTCTTATGTTATCACTGTATCGCATTACATATCCAGGGTTTAAATTATAAAAATGTATATGGTAAATTCGTTTTCTGTAAAAAGGCCCGAAGCAAACATTTTCTGTAATCTCAAATTCTCCTGGGATACTCAAACAGTTTTAGAATGTCCCCCACCACCACCCCTCCTCCTCCAGCACAACAGTCAGGTGTGTACTGGTAGTACCACTGTGTCCTGGACCCGAACGCTGTCCACTCAGCCACCAGGCCACATCAGCCACGGGTGCTTATGTGTGTGTGTGGCGGGGGGGGGGGGGGGGGGTGGAGGAGATGTGTGTACTCACCTATTTGTGCTTGCGGGGGTTGAGCTCTGGCTCTTTGGTCCCGCCTCTCAACTGTCAATCAACAGGTGTACAGGTTCCTGAGCCTACTGGGCTCTATCATATCTACATTTGAAACTGTGTATGGAGTCGGCCTCCACCACATCACTTCCTAATGCATTCCATTTACTAACATCTCTGACACTGAAAAAATTCTTTCTAACGTCACTGTGGCTCATCTGGGTACTAAGTTTCCACCTGTGCCCCCTTGTTCGTGTCCCACCCGTGCTGAAGAGTTTGTCTTTGTCCACCCTGTCAATTCCCCTGATAATTTTGTAGGTGGATATCATGTCTCCCCTAACTCTTCTGTTTTCCAGGGATGTGAGGTTCAGCTCCTTTAGCCTTTCCTCGTAGCTCAGTCCTCTCAGTTCCGGGACGAGCCTGGTGGCATACCGCTGAATCTTCTCTAACTTTATCTTGTGTTTAACTAGGTATGGACTCCAGACTGGAGCTGCATATTCCAGGATTGTTCTGACATAAGTGGTATACAGGGTCCTGTACGATTCCTTACATAAGTTTCTAAAGACAGTTCTTATGTTGACCAGTCCAGCATATGCCCTGATGATATCCTTTTGAACTGGGCCTCTGAGGAGAGGAGAGGTGTGATATCAACCCCCAGATCTTTCTTTCTATTTGACTCTTGCAGGATTTCTCCTCCCAGATGGTACCTTGTGTTCAACCTCCTGCTCCCTTCGCCTAATTTCATTACCATACACTTTCCTGAGTTGAACTTTAGCAGCCATTTTCTAGACCATTCATCCAGTTTGTCCAGGTCATACTGTAGTCTCTTGTGTGTGTGCGTACGCGTGCGTGCAGTACACATCACGCAAGCCAGCACAAAGGAGCTTGGTATAAGTCATTCTCCAGCGCGAGGCATTGTGGGTTATAGCAGGGGCGGGTTGACCCATGTCGGAGCAAGGGGCGGGTTGACCCATGTCGGAGCAAGGGGCGGGTTGACCCATGTCGGAGCAAGGGGCGGGTTGACCCATGTCGGAGCAAGGGGCGGGTTGACCCATGTCGGAGCAAGGGGCGGGTTGACCCATGTCGGAGCAAGGGGCGGGTTGACCCATGTCGGAGCAAGGGGCGGGTTGACCCATGTCGGAGCAAGGGGCGGGTTGACCCATGTCGGAGCAAGGGGCGGGTTGACCCATGTCGGAGCAAGGTCAAAATCGAGATCCAGAGTTGGAGCCCCACTCAGCCTGCCCCCACACCCACGCTCCCTGTTTCTTACACACTGATATACACTCACCACCTGTGTATACACTCACCACCTGTGTATACACTCACCACCTGTGTATACACTCACCACCTGTGTATCACACAAAGCAGCCGCTACAATACCCTACTGGTTAAACATATTTTTAGGAGTCAACAAATGGTCCAGAGGCTGGCCCAGGGAGCTGGAGCCCATCCCCCCCCCCCACACACACACACACAGGTGAGCACAAAAGTTTAGCCGCCACAATACCTTTCAGAAATGCAATCATTGTTCAAATGAAATCAACAATATCGAGGAAATTCCGTTTGAATGTAAATGACCTCGAGAAAGCTCAACAGCTATTCAAAGCTTAAAGCTCTTCTTATATAAAAGACTTTTGTTACACCGAGGAGTCGGAGACCCCGTGGCTCCTGGTGGCAGGCTTAGAACTCTCCCTTTCTAGACCTTAAATTAACCTACTAGTTATCCCCCGGAACACGATTCATCAGTTGGTTTACAACCAGGTCCCAATCCTTGCTGGACGGGCAGGTGTGAAGAGCGACAGACTGGCTCCCAGTCAATCATTCCTGGTCAGGACCCCAAGTAAACTAGATTGAATTGTAATCAGTTCAATAATGCTTTATCAAAACTCATGTATGTAATTACAGATATAAGTTTAATTAAATGAAAATGGGGAATAGCATTACTTGTACTTCAATCCCCTCATCAAGGTGACTGATTCCGGCTTTACAGCTAGTGCCCTTTGACAGGAACAAGAAGAGGAAGCAAGAATTAATCTTGGTACATCAGTTACTTGGGTGTTGGAAGCTAGCCTCTCACGAGGATAATTTGGTGTCTACCTCCCAGGTATACCTGGTGGACTAGGCCTACTGTACAATAAGATAAGGAACCTCCTCAATTTATATACTAATATATGTAGTCTAATACTGTAGTTTGATTGGCTGCATATATATAA